TTATAACATGGATAAACCCTGAAGACATTATGCTAAATGAAATAAGCCAGTCACAAAGGGACAAATACTGTACAATTCCTGTTATGTGAAGTTTGTAGAGTAGTGAAATTTATAGACAGAAAGTAGAATGGTGGTTGCTAGGGGCTGGGGGAGGGAAGAATAGGGAGTTAGTGTTCAACAAGTGTAGAGTTAAAAAAAATGTGTGCCTTGTTTTTTGGTTTCTTCCCTCATTTCCTGTGGGCAGCAGGGTTATATGTCTCTGGGACAGCCCAGGGGCTCTAGTTCAAGCATCAGATGTCTTCATCCTTTCTCAAAATTTACACTGAAAACAGCACTGGAGGAAACAATGAGACAAATCCAGAAGATGGAACTTCCTGTGAGACAGATGACCTGGCCTCTTCAAAAGTCAGTGCCCCTAAGAAAAGAAAAGATGGGGAGGGCATCCTAGATTTAAAGAGACATAGCCAAACATAATCCATGTGTAAACTATGATTGGGTCCCAGTTGGATAAAACAATTCTAAAAAACAGTTTAGAGACAACAGAAAAACTGTAACTATGAACCCAGTATTGGAGAGTATTTAAAAATCGCTGTCAATTGTTTTAGATGTGGTCATGATATTGTGGCTATATAGAAGAATCTCCTTATTTGGAGGAGCTGTGTGCTAAAGTATTTAGGGGTAAATTGTCATGATGCTTTCGAGTCATTTTCAAATGATTGAGGAGAAACACACACACACACACACACACACAGCCAAATAACCTTAAAAATGCAAACAACAGCAAAAATGTCAGTCAGAAAAAGCAATTATTGAATCTAAATAGTGTGCATAAAGCTGTTCATTGTACTACTTTTTCAAACATTTTCTATACTTTATAGTGTTTATTATAAAATGTTTAAAAGTTGAGAATTTTTGTATTAACAAATATTAAATTGCTAACTGATAGCTTCTCGGGTCAAAACCACCGTAATCTGCCTTGGCCAGGTAGCTCATTTGATTGGAGTGTCGTCCCCATATGCCACGGTTGCAGATTTGATCTTCAGTCAGCATACACACAACCAACAAATCAATGTCTCTCCCCTCTCTCTCTCTCAAAAACAAACACATCTTCATCATGAGTTACTGAGGATTCAGTGTGTACCAGGCACTTTGTTAAACCTTTACACATACTATTTCATTTAATCCTCAAATCTCTTTAAAAAGGGTACTTTCATTTGTCTCACTTTTACAGAGGAGCAGACTGAGGTGAAGGCATTATGTACCTTCTCCAAGATTCCCAGCCAGTGAGGCAGAGTCAGGGGGACACTAACCCACGTTATGGGGGGAAGGTCTGAAATTTCCTCGTAACTCCTCTACCCACCCCACTCTAAATGTGGCACATAACCAGTGCCTCAGGGGCAATCTCTAATTATATGACCTTGAAAACATGGACAAGGGCCCCCTATGGCCAGAGCCTGAAGGCAAAGTAGACACTGTGATTAGAAACTCTTTAGTCCAATAGCTGCATCTTCTTACAAAAGAAGCAATATTAATGACAGTGGCTATGTTATGGACTATCTCAGACCAGTCCCTTTTTTCTGTAACAAGTAGGACCCTGGATTCCAGTACTGCCCAGTGTGGGGGAAGATGGCATTTCAGTAAGAATTAACTTAGAGGATCCTGCCAGCCAGGCCAAGGTGAGGCTCAGAGCTTGACTTCAGTTGATTTGGAACAATAAAGCAATGTGTGTTTCCTTGCTTCTTGAAGAAGTGGAGCCAATTTTTACCTGTTATTTAGGCATCTGTGGGATATGATGCCTAAATAACAGGTATAACTTTGTGGGGGGGGTGGGGAGGGAGTGGTTAGAGTGATCCTCGAATCACCAAGCAGCTGGAGAAGCTGCCAGGCTCTGCCCTCCTCCATTTGCCTTTAGTTGGCAAGAGACAAATTAGCCAAGCACCTCCTGAACCAGAGTTTGCAATGCAGAGTCTGCAAGAACGTTTGCTTGGGGAGCCGCACACTTCTTTATCTCAGCAGGTGTAATTCCATCACATGATCATTTTGGATCTGCTTTCCCCTGCCCCAGCCCAACCTTGCCAATTCAGACAAGCATCACTGAAAAATAAATAGTCCTTCTCTGTGTCAGCTCAGAAGGCACAGGGGATCCCTTTACATAGAATATAATGAGCATTTCCTGACTTCTGGGGTTGAGAGGGCTTGACTACCTGCCCCGAAACCTACAAGCTGAGCTTCCTCTTTGCAAGCCTGCATGGGGAAGCCAGCCCTCCTCTGTGGCCTCCTCTGCCCTGTCCTTAGCTTACAGGTCGCCAGCAAACCAAAGCAAGAGGACTTCAAGGAGGCAGAAGGCCCAGCCCAGGACCTCCGTAGGGACAGTCACCAGAGCCCTGCTGCCTCAGTACAACCTTGCTATCTCTGGCTCCAAAGGTTATTTCTGTTACAGCTTAAGGTTACTTCAGGCAGGAAACTCTCACTGTGTGGAAACTGCTAACAAGAAAACTAATAGAAGGGGCCTCCTCAGCTGAAATACCAAAGGTTCAGCCTCTAAGCCCAGGAATGAGGGAAGGTGGAGCCTTATCAATGGTGGCCGACTGCCCATTCATACCTAGAAGATTGGTGGGGTCCTGTAAAAGCCAGGTCTCAGATGTTCCTCTGGATGTCTGCTGAGGACTAAGCTGGCTTGGGAGACTCTAGGATTCTGAGGAGCCCTGACAGGGACCAAAAATCTTAGATACTGTGGTTGAGTTCCAGGGACTCCTTACGAGTGGGGTCAGATGCTAGCGGTGACTACCTGCTCCAAGTTCTCTTAGAGGTGTTTTTATTTTAATAAACTCTTAGATGAACATTATCATAGCAAAAAAAAGTTTTAAAACTCTGAACACCCTTACTAACCAATTGTTCTCCAGTGTCTGCTTCCCCTCCCTGCCCTTGTCCACATGCGTGCACACTTTGTGCAGAATTGTTTTCTCAACAGATAACTGTTACCATGTTCTTAAGAAGATAACTTCCACTGCTCAGCCTTTCATTTTATAGCTCGGTGGTTCTGAACGTTGGATGTGCATCATTTGGAAGGCCTGTTTAAAGTTCAGATTTCTGGTCTGTTTCCAAAGTGAGACTTGATTTTATAGGTCTGGGAGTGGGGCAAAGGATTTTGCATGCCTCCCCCAATTCAAGACTACGACACTTAATGATATGTTTCTTATAAACATATCACAGGGTAACATAAACAAGATGATAGTAAAGGAAATCGCTTCAGTGCTTGTTAAGCTACACAATAGCCACTTCGGTCAGTGAGCTATCTCTGATGGATGTTGGATTCTCTCCATTTTCCCCTCATGATCTGCTCTCCACCCTTCTACACCTGCTCTTTGCCCCAAGAGCAGCCACATGGACTGCTTCGGTGGCTTCCTTTTGCCCTTCAGCCTGTGGAAGGGTTGGCCAATGAGGTTGGCATGTGGTAGTCCACCCTTATTCGTAGTCTCAGTTATTTGCATTCAACCACAGTCCGAAAGTATTAAATGGAAAATTCCAAAAATAAACAAGTCATAAGTTTTAAATTGTACACCGTTCTGAGTAGCATGATGAAATCTCACACCACTCCCCTTCGTCCTGCCCAGGACATGAATCATCCCTTTGTCCAGTGTCCACATCCTATACTCTACCCGCCATTAGTCTCTTACCTGTTTTTGTTGTCAGACTGACTGTTAGGGTATCACATTGCTTGTGTTTAAGTAACTGTTACTCTACCTTATAATGGCCCCAAAATCATTCACATAATTTTATTCCAGTATATTGTTATAATTGTTCTATTTTATTATTATTGTTAATCTCTTACTGTGCCTAACTTATCAATTTAACTTTAACATAGGTATGTATATCTAGAAAATAATATGGTATATATAGGATTTGGTATTACCCATGGTTTTAGGTACCCACTGGGGGTCTTGGACTATACCCGCCATGGATAATGGAGCACGACTGTATTTATTCCTCTGGCTCCTTTTTGCCGGGTGGCCTAGGGACCTTTCACTGGTCCCAGGCCCTTGTCCTTCCAGGCCTCCAGTGGTAATGGCTCCTGCACTCACCAGCTCAAGAGCATGGCCCCACCCCTTCCTGTTTGTCTAAGTCCAGCCGTGCTTCGTGAGTACCCTTACTACACTCTTCTCAAATGACTCAATATAAAGCTATTTTTTTTTCCAGGGCCTTGGCTGATGTAACCTTTAGAACATTCTGCTTTTATTACTATTTGTTAATAGGTAAAATTTTTTAAATTAATTTTGTGCTTTCCAAAGGTTCTGTGAGTGGGATTTTATTTTCCCCTAGTAAAGTCAGTAAAAAAAATTTCCCGGCCCTGGCTGGCGTAGCTCAGTGTATTGAGCGCGGGCTGGGAACTAAAGTGTCCCAGGTTCGATTCCCAGCCAGGGTACATTCCTGGGTTGCAGGCCATAACCCCCAGCAACCGCACATTGATGTTTCTCTCTCTCTCTCTCTCTCTCCCCGCCCTTCCCTCCCTAAAAATGGATGAATAAAATCTTTAAAAAAAAAAAATTTCCCTTAGTCAAGCTAAATTAGCTTTTTTGAAATTTTAAACATATAAAATAATTGTCAGTTTGTCATTAAATGCAAGACCCTTACTATACTTGCTTTAAAGAGAAAGTTTTCAAATAAATTTAAAGATCTTGAAAATTCTGAGTGGTGCATGCCAGTTTAAGAAGCACCGGGTCAGTGGGCTCCTCACAGCACAGCCCTGTAAAGACAACAGCATCTCTTGCAAAGTGCCAGGATGCCCCTCCGTTAGGGCCCCATATCAATGAGTTTGAGATAAAACAATTTTATGTAGAAGAACAGCTTGATATCTAGAGTTTAGAGAATCTGTCCTTAATGCCTGCTTTGAAAGTCCTGGAAAGCTGTGTGTGTAGTTTTTCTTTTTTAGTTTTGTTAGAATATACATTCCTTCATGGTCCCTTTTTAAAAAACTAACTATGGTCTCTCATGCTCAACAGCAGCTCCTCTGCGAAGCTCTGATCCTTGCACATCAGGAAGGAGAACAGTGCGAGCTGCAGTGATTTGGCAGACGGAGCTGTGCCCAACGGAAGCCTTAGCCTGCATTCCGTCTGGCATCTTCTTTCCTGGCACGGGCACCTGACTCAACATCAGAAGTGGGTAGAAGGTTACGAAATGTCATCTTGCCCTGCCCACTTCCCCTGACTTTGGTCCTACCCACTTATCCTTTTCCCTGGTCTAAATAAATTGGTTCCCAGATTTGATCCCTTTGAAGATATTCAAAAGGAGACTGATTACAAACATAGTATTCTCATTAGAGCTGTCATTGTACACTGCTAAGTACCACACTCTGTTTCTGTTGTCCACATCCATGGAGAAGGCTAGGACAAGTTACAGCACAGAGGAACAGAGGCAGAAAGTGAGTCAAGTCTCCTTTACCTCGGTGCATGCCCTGCTCTCCTCAACAGCTTCAGACTGGCCACTTCTTAACAACTTGCCTTAGACTTGCCTTTGATTCTCTGACCCTCATCTGTGTGAACTTACACCATCTCTGCTTGAGGCTCCAATTGCTAGTCATCAGACTGCCCTGGCTTCTGTCCTCTCAGCTTCCCCAGTGAGCTCTGAGCAGCAAGCTGCCTCCTTGCCAACTCAAGCCTGACTTGACCCTTTTTCTGATGAAAGGCAGGTCCCACCTGATTGCCAGCTTCATCTGACACAGAGTAATGAACAACCAGAGCCACTTTCTCCTGGGTACGCAGCAGCAGTCATCATCAAAAGCTTTGAGGCAAGAGGGGACATAATCAGAGCTTTGTTTAGGGAATATAGATATATATTTAAACTGGCCATAGTGAACTACAACTTGCCCCTAAATTCTGCAAGACCCAGGGCAGGACTACACATGGAGGCCCACATGTCTAAGAATTATAAGTCAAAATAATAAACTACTAAATAAAATATGTTCTATACTCCTATATTGAAAAATAAACCTTCATAACAATGTGACAGGCCAGGTTCAAATACAGAATTCCTGAATTTCTTAGAGTCCCGTGCCGGGACATGATAGAATGTGGAAGAGTTGTCCCTTGCCCCCTGGCCCAGCTTCACCTCTTTCCTCAGCCCAGGTGCTGTTTCATATGACAGAGGGCCTTGAACATGTTCACATGGATGTCTCCAAGCTCCATCCACATCCTTACTCCCATCTCTCCAACAAACAACTACTCTTTGGGCACCTTTCAGGTCTAGGAGAAGTGGTGCGGTCTGTCCTCAGGAGAATGTACCTGGAGAAAAGGCTGTCCCGGGCCCAGGAAATAGGCTCTAGAAAGGTAACAGGAGCTTTGGGTGGGAGCATCCCACCCATGTGCTCCTTGGAGCAGTATAGCCAAAATGGAGCCAGGTGGGGGCAACCTGTAAAGTAGGGGACCCAAGGCGGAGGGGCATACTGTTGAAATATGATAGCTTGGATGGAGGATACAACCAACAATACAGAAATCACTGAAGATGTCATGAAGCCTTTAGGTAAGATGGTGGCCCAGGAAAAAAGAGGGGGAGACAGAAAGATATCAGAAAACAGAATGTGAGCAGACATGCAGAGAGCGGAAACCAGTCAGTGCCTCAGCAAACTCTGCCTGGCTTCCTGGGGGCCTGGTCCTGCGTCCAGCCCCCGCCGAGATGCACAACCACTTCTACACTGAACTCTGCAGACACCTTGTAATATAAACCTTCCCTTTGCCTACACTAGTTACTATTACTTGGGGAAAAAAGTCTCAATGAAAATACTACTTAGTTGTTAGCAAAGGAAATCAAGGTTTACCCAGAAAGAGGAAGAGAGAGAGAGAGAAGGACTATAAAGAAAGGTTTCAAGAAGTCATACATTTATGATGCAGAAAAATGGAAGGAGAACCACAGAAAGAATTTGAAAGAAGTGGGGGAAAACTAGCTCACTGGGGTGAACATTTAAGAAAGAGGGGCCGTCAGCTGGCAGATGAGGCCCGAGAAAAGGGCACTGGACTTAGTGGCTGCAAGGTCACTAGTGGTGGAAAAAGAAAGCTGTGCTGGGAGATTGAGAGCTGCAGCTGTTCGCACAAGGCTGAGGTCTTTCTCCTTTCCTGGCACTGGCAGCAGGCATGACTGTCCCTCCCATTTCCCTTCCTCCTTTCACTGGGCATGCTGGTGACTCTTGGCACCTTCAGAGCCAAAGCCGGCTTGAAAGGTGTCAGAGAACAGGGAATGGTGTGCCAAGATCCTGGATGGGAATCCTCAAGGACACAATCACTGGGGGGGGAGGGAAACAAACATACAAAGAACCACCACTGGATCCCCAGTCTTCACCTAAAACTCTTGGAATTCCCTCTTCTTGTTCTGCATTGCCTTGGGATAGTTAAAGACAAATCCTAACCCAGGTACCAGTCTCCACTTGTCTAGCTGCCAACAACAGCAAACCGGCTTCCCATCTTTCTCATCGTGTGCATGTGCGCGCGTGTGTGTGTGTTGGGGGCCAGAAGTGAGGGGTTGGGAGGGGATTCCCTACAGAATCTCTTTCCCAAGCCTCAACACTGCAGGGATAACAACAAACAAGTAAAATGAACACTTTCTTTTTTTTTTTATTGATTGGAGAGAGAGGGAGGGAGGGAGAGACAGAGAAATCTATTTGTTGTTCCACTAATTTCTGCATTCATTGGTTGATTCTTGTATGTGCCCTGATTGGGGATCAAGCCCACAACTTTGGTGTATCAGGACAAAGCTCTGACCAACTGAGCTATCTGGACAGGGCAAAACTAACTTTTTCTTCAAGAAAACACATCCCTGGCTTCCAGTGGTGCAGCTGAGAACAGGAGAGCCCAGGCTGTGAAACCCGCAGTTTTCCAGGAAGAAGCATTGCTCACAGCTCAAGAAAATGAGCAGGCAGGACAGCCTGTGTCCAACTTGTCCACTGTGACCATTGCTCAGAGACAGTCACAGAAAAAAGAATTTCAGATGTGTGAAGAATCACCCTTACGACAGACCGAGCACTCCGATTGGCCTTCTCCCTTACAGCCCACTCCTTACTCCATCCCAACTCACTCCTTAATCACCGTTTCCAACCTGAGTGATCTCCAGGCTGGATGACCCCCACCACACCTCCTACAGGGGGTAAAGGGAGGACAGAGTCCAATGCCTGTCCTTGTCAGCAACTCTCCCTCCCGACTGAGCAGGGCGGCCTGTCAGCACCTCCAGACACCCCCTGACGTTGGGCTCCATGGGGGAATGAAATATAACCACTCATTGAAGAAATGGGAGAGCCCTGGCCTTCTCCCATTGACCCCTCCCCCCTCTTGATACAAATATCTGCAGCCCCTGCATGTTCACAGTCTTCTCTTACCTCTCTCTCTTTGGGGTCATTTCCTGAAGTCTTTCCTCTCTTCTCAGGAGACAATTTTTTTAACCCCTGGGCTAAGTTTTCTTTTCTCGTCTGAGGAACTGGAGAGAGTTTACTGAACAACACAATATTCTCACACATTTCCCTCGATCCTCTTAATTGCCTTGTGGAGCAGGTATTGCTGTTTTGAAAGGTTCAGTGACTTGCCAAAGGCGGCTGGGATCATAAGTCCTGGAGTTTAGGATTGGACTTCTGCCTGACTCCGAGTCTACGCCAGGCTCACCAAATCTGATGCTGGGGTTTCAGAGGCAGCATCTCAAAGCCCTGCCTTTCCCTCTTTTTAGGGAGCCCAGACATTTGGAGTAGAAAAACACACACTTCAAAGAAAAAGAGAGAAGAAAATACACTGGCTTTTAGAGCCATGGCTTTAAACTTTTTTAACTGTCACCCACAACAAAAAAACACATTTTATATCTTCACCCAGGACATCACATAAATAAATAAATAAATAGATGTGTGGGGAGGTATAGAAAGATATCAAAAGTTTTACCAGAAGTGATGCACTCTGATATTTTTTGTTCTACTCTAGCATATTCTTTTTTTTTCCTTTTGATGATGGTTTTGACCCACGAAATTGATGTCATTACCCACAAACAGATCTGAACTGCGGATTGAAGAACGCTGCCTGGAAGCATCATCTCCACATTCAGAGCTGAGCCCTCACACTGTTCTTGTGTAGAGAGCCAGCTGGGGTAGTGCCCGGCCCCAATGCACAATATGTGTTCAGGGAATACTTGTTGAACTCCTGGACTTTTAGAGAACCAATAACCCACAAGTTAAACAATTTGTGCTGGCAATTCTCCAGTTTACGTTATGCAGAAGAGATACTACTAATCCCAAATCTCAATGAACAAATCATTCACAAACGCAAAGCTAGAAGTTGATCTGTGATGTGAACCTAGACTTGAAACTCTAAAATAAATACTAGAAGATTTATTTCCAAGCATGAGGCATCTGTTTTGAACTGTGCACTGCCCTAGGGGCTGGAGCTACAGAGACACATCAGACCCTTCCCTGCCCTCAAGGAGCTGGGTGGTGGCGAGAGACTGAGAAGTGAAGCCAGAAGTACAATGCAGTGTGATGAGGGTGGCACAGGCTGCCATGGGAACAGAGGGAAGTTATCTGTTTCCTTGGAGCTCAAGCTTATACTTGAAAGACAAATAGCAGTTAGGCTGGAGTGTAAATGGAGGAGGGCTACATCAGACAAAGAGAATAACGTGCAAAGTTGTTTCAGTCACAGCTGATTGTCCCCCCATAGTCAATCCAGGTGTTTCTTCTTGCAAGTGCCCTAATTTGGGGTGAGAGGAAGGGAAGTGTCCACTGCTATTCTATGTAATTTAGGAGAAAATCCTGATTAACATGAGCCGATTATGATGGTCCCAGGCTCCCTGCCAGTTACTAGTTTAGGAATGGGCATAAAACCACAGTCTGACTAAAGAGATTCAAGGGCATTCCTTCTGGGAAGGGACATCTGGAAAAGTTCTCTTGTTTTTAAAAAGCAACTCATGGGAAGAAACAACCCTTCTTCTTCAACTGGATTCCATACTGTCTCAATGGGAAGCCATCTTGTGACCATGAGGTAATCTAGTAGGAGGGTGGCAATGATCTTGGTGAGCAGCTAAATTAACCAACCCTAGAACCACTCTATCTCAGGACACATGTCATTTAAGAGAAAAGATTTTTCTTATTGTTAAAGTCAGTTAGTGAGAGTTTTACGTTACCTGCAGTCAAAATGAACCTAAACTGATGCAAAAGCTGTGGAGATACAAAAGGCATGTTCTGGATTCTGCAAGGCAGAAACTGGGATACAAAGATCAGGTGCTGCTGCAAATATTAGCTTCAAGATGA